TCTGGAAACTGCCTTTTGTTTTGTTTGCCATTTTCCCACTGAGCTGCAGGCCTTTTTATTTTGAGACTTGCATTGTTTGCTGTTTGCAAGAAAATATTTTGAGCAAAAGAACTTTGACACTTTGAAGGCCTTCTTTCCACAAGCGTCTTAAGCTTTGTGAGGTGTAACTGACATATTTAAAGTGCAAATAAATGCACAAAAACACACAAGGGCATTGACTTGGACATGCATGCATCCTGGGAAACAGTCGTGTTGCCACCAACTCTGGATTTTTAGAAATTTTTTTTTAAAGATTTATTTATTTATTCATAAAGAACTGGGGTACAGGCTAGAGATGCGGAGGGTGAGAGGATTCACCAGAGACAGAGTGGGGAGCAGAACAGGCAATCGACAAAGTACACTGATGAGGGGAGCAGCGGGCGGGCCAGGAGAGGTCTGCTGTGCCATGAGGGTCACCTCCGGGGCAGGCGGGAATCGAACTCATGGGGAAGTGGCCTAAGCTTCTTAGTGCTGTGCTTTAACCCACTGCACCACCAGGGAGGGCCCTGGATTTTCAGAAATTTAAAACTGTTTTTTAAATTATTTTGTGTGTTGAAGAACTGGTGTGCAGGCCAGAGGTACGTGGGAATGAGAGGATACAGAGAGGGGCACAGAACAGGCAGATCCATTGAGACACTGCTGAGGGGAGCAGCAGGACACAGGAGAGGCCCGCTGCCCATGTGGGTCAGCTCCCTGGCCAGGGACCAAACTCAGGCCACAGCCACAATAGCCTGAGACTAGCCCCTAGGCCAGCAGGAAGGCCCTTGGTTTTCAGAAACTTGGAAGTGCAGAGGAGCTGCAGGTTTACAGTGAGGGGCAGCTGGAGGCTCCTCAGGAAGGGTCCCCCGTGCTTCACCTGTTTTCCCAGCCACGTTTCTCTGTCCGTGATAGACGCACCTTTTTCTTTTTTAATTTTTCGGCGGAGCCCTTCCAAGTGAGCTGCGATCAGCACGGCTCCTTCTGGAGAACCCCAGGCTGGCATCTCGAGTTCCTGCGTCTCCACTGCCGCCCACACGCCAGAGAGTGGCCGGTCTGCTTCCCAGACCTCCTAGTCTGTCCTGGGGTCTTCATGCTTGGGGGCTTTTCTGGTGTGACATTTTGGGAGAATACAGGCCGGTTATCATTTTCCTTTCATCAGGCTACACGTGGGATGCCACCACAGCTCACTGGTCACTCAGCTGCTGTCCAGCTGGCCCTAAGCCATTTGAGAGCTTGCCACGCCCCCAGACAAGGGACGGACCCCTCCGCTGTCACTGCTGCCCTCCCCCAGCCTGGCCACCGCCTGGCCTTTGTCTCTGATCCACCCTGAGGGTCCTGAGCTCTGGTCTGTGCGCTCAGCCCCGCTCCACGTGTCCGGGCCTGAGCCCACGTTTCCTGCCTTCACCCAGCTAGCGGTTGACTCACTGTGGCTGTTTCCACTTTTCATCTTCTGTGATAACGCTGCTGTGAACAATTACATGCAGTTTTAGGGGAGAGTCTTTTTGTCATCAGGGGTGTGCCCAGGGCGCGGGGCTCCCCTCTGCACCGACGTCCCCCACAGGCATGAAAGCGCCAGTGTCTCCCGCGGCCCCTCACTCTGACGCTGGCCCTCGTCGAGGACGCGAGGGTGTCAGCCACTGCGCTCTGCACCCTGTTGCCTTTGAAATGTCCTCCCACGTGTGCAGGGTGACGTGGGAGAGACCCTTTCGGCAAGGACTCTACCAGCTCGCGGCCTGCCCCACCCGGTGCCCGGCTGCCCTCCTGCCCTTCCGCACAACTTGGCCCCGTCCGCACAGCGCGGTGTGGCCTCCCCCTGTGCCCTGCACAAGCCCGGGCACCTCCGAGCTGTGAAACGCGCCTCCTTCTCAGGCTTGTTCATGCCACCTGATTTTCCTGGGGCCACTTGGCAAGTGTCTAGGAGTAGCGGGGTGAAGAGAAGTTACACTGCAGGAAACCACCATCCCCACCCCTCCCTGGGGTTGGGCCCGGGCCTCTGCTGCAAGGGGGCGATAAAATCGCGACCTTCGGCCCTCCTGGCTCCTTCCTTGTCCCTCACCCAGTCTCCCTTGCCTCACTTTCCAAACCGTCCAGCATACACAAGGAGAGAGCCACCCACTGGCCAACCTGCATCAGGGCTTTCCAGCTTAGCTTTGTCTCTGTGTCCCGTCCACTGTCCTGTGTGTCCTGGCCGCTGCCCTGTGTGTCCTGGCCGCTGCCTTCTGTCCTGTCCACTGTTCTGTGTGTCCTGCTCATTGTCCTATATGTCCTGCCCTTGTGTCCTGTCCACTGCCTTGTGTCCTGTCCACTGCCTTGTGTCCTGTCCACTGCCTTGTGTCCTGGCCGCTGCCCTGTATGTCTTCTCCACTGTTCTGTGTGTCCTGTCCACTGCCCTGTGTGTCCCGTCCACTGTCCCTGCGTGCCCCTGAACTTGCAGTGACACTCCAGGGGCTGCTCTGAGCAGGCTTGGGGCATCCCCAGAACACCGGCTTTGCCATGACCTCTGTGTTCACCTCTTGCAGTGGCCATAGCAAAGTCACCAGACCGGACAGCTTAAGCATCAGGACTTTTCCAGGAACCTGAGACTCGGGTGTGGGCAGGGCTGGTCTTCCTGGGAGGGAGAGACCTCCCTCCTTGTGTGCAACCCGCCTGCTTCTTGCTACGTCCTCACTGACCTCCTCTGGTCAAGGACCAGACATGGAGGAGTAGCTGCCCTTACCCCCTCACTGACCTGTATCATCTCTAAGGCCTGTCGCCAGCACCCCACATTCTAGGTACTGGTCAAGATGAAGATTTGGGGCGTACCCCTTGGAGGGCCCGCTTCAGCAGGTGATGTGGTCAGGGTGTCCCTGGTGGCTCACAGTGCCAGCCCCACAGTGCCCTCCACCCCCGCTGCCACCCACCTGGTTTCAGGGTGGCCGTGGCTCAGGGGTGTCAGGTTTCTGTGCATCTACTTGAGGACTCACAGGGTGGGGGTTGCTGATGGCCCAGCCTGGGGCAAGGGCCAGGCCTCTGTCCTTGGGGGTGCTGTCCCCAGGCCCTTGAGTGCAGCATCCTTTCCGCCTGGCCAATAGCAGAGGAAACTGAGGCCAGAGAAGTTCAGAGTGTTGGCTCTAGGGACAGGTCCTGCCTCTCCCACCCCATGAGGGGGGGTGGGGGCTCATTTAAAGCCCCGAGGCCCTTTTCTTGTGGCAGGAGCCTTTTCCCCCCATATTTTGGCAGATTATAAAAATGGTTCTGTGAACGAAAGTATATGTCATTCATTCTTCAAAGGATTAGGATAAGAGAGGGGAGGTGCCACGCTGGAGAGGGCCAGGCCTGACCCGACATGGATGGGAACAGAGCCAGTGCTGCCCCGCAGGGCCGCAGGGCCATGGGACAGGAAGGAGAGGCTGCCTGGGGGTGGGGTGGGGTGGCTGCAGTTGGGACAGGCTCCTCCTGGGGTGCTGAGTGCTCTAAATCGGACAGTGGTCATGACCAACAGTGGTCATGACCTAGCAGCCTTGAGAATGTTATAAAAGCCGAGGCACACACTTCAAAGACAGGAGTCTCCTGGTATGTAAATGACAAGGTGGGGAAGCTCCTAAAAAAGAGGGCCAGACACATGCAGCACACCTGTGTCTCCCAGCCCCCTTTGCCCCCCCCACCACCACGCTTCTTCCTGGCAATTTCCACAAGGCTCTTCCAAATGCCAGTCCTAGCATCACCTTCTTAAATCCTTCCATTTTTTAGCAGCAGCTTTGACGGGGGCCGTTCACACACAGTGCAAGCTGCCCCAGCGTGTAATGCTGTGGTTGTGAGCTGAGCTGCCCACCTCCACCGCAGCTATTTCAGCGCCCTGAGAGAACCCCCGGGCCTTGGATGGCCCCCTCTGCTGCCCCTGGCAATCTAGTCTGCTCTCTGCCTCCGTGGGGTGCCCGCCCCAGACTCTGCGTGGAATGGGGTCCTGCCTGTTGGGCCTCTTGCTTCTGGGTTCGCTGATAAAGAGGCAGGCGGGGCCTGTGTCCTTTATGGCCAGAAACTACCGCTCTGCGGGGGAGGCAGGGCTGGTTTCCTCCCCCTCCCCCATCCCTGAGGGCTGCTGCTCCTCCATCCTAGCACTACCTTCCAGAGTCAGTGCTTCTGCAGAATCCCAGGTGCCGGGGGCTTTGCAGTCCTGTGTACCCACAGCCCTAGGGTGTTGCTGAAGCAGGTACTACCATCTCCTTTGTCAGACAGAGCCCTGACAGATAGGTGATAGAGTCGACCACCCTTACCCGCCTGGGTGGATGGTGGAGCTGGACTGGAACTGACCACCCAAGCCCCTGCCCAGCCTCTGTCTAGCACGGCTGGTGCAGAAGTCACCGGGTCCTCCATTCCCGTGACTGCCCCTCTCCCTCCTGTCCTGGGATCTGTCCAAGCAGGAGGACGTCCAGTCGCCTGCTCTGCAGCCGGGAGCACACCTAGTAGTGCTGTTGTTACAAAGCAAGAGGCTGCTCTGCACGGCCCAGACTCGGGTCTCCCCAGGACAGAATGCCCCCGAGAAAAGCCACAGTGCGCCTCCCCCTGCAGAGGCGCATAGCTGTGTGTTGTGCTCACCCGGCACCTTGAGAGGTGGCGGTGGTGGTGATGGTGCTTCCTGAAGGGGCTGGGTGCAGGGTGCGAGTCCTTCTCACTGGGCTCAGAGTGAATACACACCTGAAGCTGCTGGGCCCCAAAGCCAGAGCCGCAGGCGCCAGGACACTCAGGTGTGAGAGCCCCTGTTCTAAGTCCAGGGTTGCTCCGTCAGTGCCCAGGCTCCGGCCACCTGGAGAATGGGGACGTGGCCTCCAGAAACTTAGTAGCTCACTCTGCGGAACCCCTGTCCCTGGCTGGTGGGCGCCTCCAGATGCAGCCTTCCTCGCCCCTCCTCCTCCCCGTGCTCCCCCTGACAAGTAAGATATGGTTTGTGGACTGGGGGGCGGGGACTGGCCAGGCCGGCAGTAACCATTCTCTTGTCTCTGCAGTTCCTGACCAGGCTGACCGAGAGGTTTGTGCTGGGAGTCGACATGTTTGTGGAGACTATGTGGAAAGTCTGGACGGACGTCTTGGATGTTCTTGGACTCGATGGTAGGTGTTCGGGGGGGGGGGTGTTTGTGGAATGGCTCTCACAAATACCACCCTCTGGAGGGGGTCTGGAGGGGGCACTCGAGGGACCCTGAGCATCCCTCCTGTGACGACGGCACATGTGAAGTCTCTGGGCTGAGGCAGTCGGGGTCTGGTCCCAGGCTTGCAGAGGGAGAGCAGGGGGTCCATGTGAGCCCATGCCATCTTGGCCTCCCAGATCCCCCACCATGTCTGCCATCCACCAAGCAGTTCACTCTCCTCTCCACTGACACTGACCAGACGTGGACAAATGAAGCTCCATAGTGACACCAGCGCCCAGGGCGTTGAGCCCATGGGTCAAGGGTCCCACTCAGATTGTCACCTGCACTTCTGAGCTCCTGGCTGTGAGCAGAGGACTCAGGGTGACTCCTCAGAGCTGCTCTCAGGCTGGAGAAACAGCCTGCTCACTGGGGCACTAGCTCCTTCCCAGGGTGCCTCAGGAATGCAGGCAAGGAGGCACAGACCCCAGTTCCCGCCTCCATGCTCACCCTGGGCACCGTGAGCCCCAGGCTTCACGCAGGCACCTCTGGCCTTGGATTCAGTCCCTCCTCTCCCTTCCCCAGAGGCCAGGACGAGACTAGAAGTTCCCACCCTCTAATTCTGTGGTTGGTTCCTCTGAAACACCTCCCATTCTTGGGGGGCCTTCCAGGAATCCCCTCACTCACAGAAGTGCCAGGGTGGGGGTGGAAAGGGGTTTATTTTCAATGACCAGGGCACCTGGTCACGCACAGTTTGGGAAACCCATTGGGTTTTAGGAGCCCTGAGCCAGGAACCCAGTGAGTTTATCCAAGTCACACTCCAGAAATTCAAGTTCCCGTCCATCTGAGGGCGCCCCTGGCCAGGGCCACAGCCTCGCTCCCTGACACTTCGCTTATAGATCAAAGGTTGGACTTGAGGCTGAGCTGCCGTCCAGGGCCGCAGCTGGGGCACAGTTGGGCCTCAGCCGCTCGAGCCCACCTCCAGCCTTAAACCTTTGGGTTCAGATAAGAGACTTAGCCAGACCCAGGGCGCCTCGCTGCTCGGGTGAAGGATGAGAGGCAGCCGTGTGGGGGTTGAGAGGATGCCGTGGCATGGCCTCCTGGGCCGCTGACTCTTGGACCTGCAGCAGCCCCACCCAGAGCCTGCCTTAGGCCCCACCCACGGCACTCACCCCTCATCCCTGGCCTTTGATCCCTGGAGAAGCCAACCCAAGCCTGGAATGACAAGCTCAGCCTTCTGGTTCTGCTGAGCGAACAAAAATAATTTTCCTGCTGCAGGACTAGGAGCACAGAAATGCCACATTGGAGACAAGAGCAGCGACACATCCGGAGGTGGAGAACTCGCTTCCGCCCCACAGTATCCCACCTTTTATTTTGTACAAACCCAAAACACACAAAGGCCTTAGGAGTTTGTGCCTGAACCTTGAAGGTGCAGAAAGACCTATGGGAAACTACTCCAGAGTTGGACATTCTGTATAAAATGCTTCTGTGAGCAGGGCCCCTGATTTTCTTCTTCAGAATGTTCAGGATGCTGGTTCACTGGAGGCTCCTTAGCCCAGAGCAGTCCACTAAAAATAGAAATTTGGTCTTGGAAGTCCAGTGTGTGGTTGACACTTCCTGTGCATCTGGATTTGGACCTGCAGCTTTTGTATGCTTGGTAGCCACACCTGGCCATGGCGGTGACCGCAACCGTGGCTTCTGTGATGGACGGCACAACTTAACCCTGCGCTCATCTCCTGGCTCCGTGTTCTTTGCTGGGAATTACTCTCTCCGAAGCTGCTTTCCACAAAAAAGGGAAAGCTGAATCCACTGCGATGGTGCCTCAGGATAGATAGTTCTGGAAACTCGACTCCCTGCATCCAGTACCAGTTCTGCCCTGCCCTCGCCACAGGTGCCAGCACCTCATCCTCTGTGCTGGATTCTCCATCAGCATGTCTGAGAGGCCAGACATGTTTCAATCACTTTTTCATACTGGTGACATGTTGATTATATTTTGAATAATGGATTAAGCAAGGTACCTTTCATTTTGTTCTTGACTATTATAAAAGTTTATTTACCAAGAAGGTTGAATAAGAAAATGGATCCAAGCCAATGCTTCTATCCCTGTGAAAAGATGTGGTGGAGAAGGGGCAAGTGTTGGGGGCTTGGGAACACCACTGCTGTTTGCCCACCACACCAGTGTAGCCATAATTCATCTGTCACAAGAGTCACAGAGGGGCCCATCCCACACTGGCCCCTGACACGTCTGCACCCTTTCACCTCAGTGACTTCTTATGCAGACGTTTCTTCACTGAGGAGGGTGGGGTCGCTCAGGATACACCAGACGAGCCGGAAGATGCCTCTGGACTGAATCGGTGGCCTCCCTCCAAATATAACTTTCTCAACTTAATTTTTGCCCTTTCATGTGGGTTCCAGAAATTTTTAAGCTACTTACATGGCCTACATCTGCCTGGCACCCAGTTCCTGTGACTTCAAAAGCAGGTTGAATATTCAGCTTCTTCTCATAAAGCAGACACTAAGGAGATTTGCAGAAGTGTGAAACAACGCCTCTCTTCTCACTACCCCTTTGTCTGGGGAACATTGTTTTCTGTGAAAAATAGATTTTGTTAACTGATAATGGAGTCTTTGTAGTTTTAAATGAATGAGAAACAGCAATGATTAAAATGTACTAAAAACCTGTGCTTCCCATGCTATGAACCTGAAACTGCTCTGAAGAAAATTGTCTTTTTTTCTTAAGTCATAAAAATGAACCTGTCCACTGTACGTAAATCAAAGCTACAGGCCGCGCACCTTGACCTAAAAGGGGTGACTCAATTACTTTTCAATAAAACTGGACAAAAGGAATGAAAAATAGTATGAAAGCACAGGGCATATTCAAATACGGAGCCACAATGCCTTTTTCTTTTTTAAGAATTTATCAGATGTTGACATTAGTTTCTAATATGGTAAATATAAAGAGGCAGAAACTATGTAAATAAATCCTCCTGGGATCCTGAGGTTGAAAGATTGGGTTAAATCTCATCTGCAGAGGTTATGTGTGAACATCAATGCCAGAGTCAAAACCATATTCAAAGTGCTCCCTCTGCCTCTGGTTGGCACCTAGGGGGAGACAATAGATTTTGGGGAGTCCTGGGGGATACCACACTTTCAGTTCTGGGCCAGGTTGCTGTTTATGAGCAGCCAACATGTGGGGCAATCTGCCTTTGGGGGTACTAAGATGGGTATTCGTATTGTTGGTGTACCTGGAGGCCTGAGAAACCCCAGCTTCAGGTGTTCTGGTTCCACATTCACCCACCCCAAATACTGGTGTCACAGTTTGCCCCCATTCCTCTCACCCTCTAAGATATAGAATTGATTGGGCACCGGCCCATGGTGCTCAATGCGAGACCCACAGAGCAGCATGGCAGAGCCCTGGGAGCTGGTGAGAGACATTGTTTGGGGGGCCCCATGGCCACGGTCCTATTGGGGTGCTGATGCACATGTCAGTTTGAGAACCACTGGTGTCGATTAAATGCGCCCTGCCTCTGTCTCCTCTCCAACACCACAAGGAAACAGACAAATCCAGAGCATAGGACTTTCTGAGAGGTCCTCCTGGCTTTTGGAGTTAGATGAAAGACTGATGCGGCATGACCAGTGACCCTGCGTGAACTGTGATGGGTCCTGATGGGTGGGTATGAGGAGGCATCGCTCTGTGTTCCTGGATAATTGAAGAAATATGAAAGATGTTACGGAATTTAATATTCACAGGCATGAAGGTAGTTTCATGGTTGTGGGAAGAATGTTATTTTAATTTTGTAAAAATGAAATACGTCCAAATTGGGAAGGAAGAAGTGAAACTTTATATATAGAAATCCTAAATTTTACAGAATTTTTATATATAGAAAATCCTACAGACTCCATCTAAACTGTTAGATCTAATCAACAAATTCAGTAAAGTTGCACAAGGTTAACATGTAGAAATCAGTAGTGTCTCAATGTGCTAACAACAGATTATCTGGAAAGGAAATTAAAAAGTGACCCCATCAACAATTAGAACTTAGAAATAAATTTAACTAAGGAGGTTAGAGCTCCCTACTCTAAAAATTGTAAGATGTTAACGAAGGAAATCAGGACACAGATAATGGAAACGTGTCCCTGCTTATAGATTGGAAGGATTAATAATATTCAAAGATCCATATTACCCAAGTCCATCTGAACAGTCAATGCAATTCCTATCATAATTCCATTGAGATTTTCTATAAAAAACAAAATTCTAACATTTATTTACAACCACAAAGACCCCAAGTAATTCTGAGAAAGCACAAAGGTGGAGGCATCACATGTCCTGGCTTCAAGTTATATTATAAAGCTGTAATACTCAAAACAGTATGATATGGGTGTAAAAAATAGACAAATCAGTAGAATAGAATGGAGACCTAAGATATAAACAGACACGTAGGTGGTCAACAAATATCAACTAGTGTTTGTCAAGGATGGAGAAAGAGTTTCTTTAATAATTTATGCTAGACAAATTGAATATTCACACATAAAAAAAATGAAACTACTCCCCTATCTTTTACCATTCACAAAAATTAACTTGAAATAGATCAAAAACTTAAATATAAGACTGGAAACCATAAAACTAGAAGAACATGTAGGTGATAAACTTTTTTTAAAAATTGTATAATAGTTTATTTTTACATATTTTTGTGTTTCCATCTCAGTTGCAGTCCCCTTGGGTTTCCCATCACCAGTCACCGATGTGCCATCACCATAGTCCAGTGAAATTCTCTCCCCCCAGGTGATAAGCTTCTTAACATGGGTCATAGCCATGACTTTTTGGATCAAACCCTAAAGCACAACTGATAAAATAAAAAACAGGCCCTCCCTGGTGGCGCAGCGGGTAAAAGCACTGCACAAAGAAGCTTAAGCCACTTCCGCATGAGTTCAATTCCCGCCTGCCCCCGGAGGAGACCACATGGCGTGGCAGACCTCTCCTGACCTGCCCGCTGCTCCCCTCAGCAGTGTACTTCGTCAGTTGGCCTTTCTGCTCCCTACTCTGTCTCTGGTGAATCCTCTCACCCTCCGCATCTCTGGCCTGTACCCCAGTTCTGTATGAATAAATAAATAAATCTTAAAAAAAAAAACAACAAGTAGAATGATATCAATCAAAAAGAATTCTGCACAATGGAAACAAGAAAGCAAGCCCCCCAAAAATCATCAACAAAATGAGAAAACAACTAGTTGAATGGAGAACCACATTTGCAAACCCAATATCTGTTGAGGGGTTACTATCCAAGTATATCATCAACAAGTCATACAACTCAGTGGAAAACAAACAAATAATACAGTTGAAACGGGCAAAGACCTGGATGAGCTTTTTTCCCTGAAAGATTGACAAATGCACACCAGGGACCCAGGAATGCACTAAGCATCACGAATATTTAGGAAAATGCAAATCCAAACCACAAGGAGAAATTGCCTCACACCTTTGTAAATGGCCCTCCTCGGGCATGAAATAAATGCTGGAGGGGAGGAAGGAACCCTTGTGCTTTATGGGTGGGATTGTAGATTGATGTGGCCTTCATGGGAGACAGAATGGAGATCCCTCAGAAATTCTAAGATAGACCTACCCTTTGATCCAGCAGTTGTTCTTCTGGGGATATAGCCAAAGGAAATGAAAACACTAAGTTAAAAAGATACTTACAACCTCACATCCATGGCAGGATTATCCACAATAGCCAAGAAATGGACACAACCTTCATCATCAGATGAACATATGGTGTCTATCTGCAGTGGAATATTATATAGCCAGAAGAAAGAAGATTTGCCATTCATACAACATAGATGAACCTCGAGGGAATTATGCTGAGTGAAACAAGTCAAAGAAAGATAAATACTGGTGATCTTACTTACACGTGGAATCTAAGAAGGAAATTACTCAGGAAAAGACATCAGATTTGTGGTTGCCAGAGATGAGGGTGGGGATGGGAGGATTGTATGAAAGTGGCCAGTGGGTATAAACTCCCAGCTTAGGGTCAGTAAGTGCTGGGGATGTCATATACAATAAGGTGACCATAGCTGGCACTGCTGTGTGATCCGTCGATCCATAGTATTCTCATTACAATGTAAAAAACACTTTTTTCTCTCATTTGTTAGTATATGGAAAGGCAGATGTTAACTGAACTCACAGTGGTGATTATTTCAGTCTATGTAAGTCTTTATTCTGTACTTATACAGACAGTTTGATCTTAGTGAAATGGGGAAGGGGGAGGTGATCTTTGAAGTATGACCTGTGTATAATTAAAATGGTCTAGTAAAAAAAATGAACATGACATGAGGGATGAAGCAAAATGTGGCAGATATTAACAATCGTTAAACCTAGGTAGTTTCAGTAGAAGTATTTTACTGTTCTCTTAACTTTTCTATTTGAAAATTTTCTTAAGTTGGGCACACAGAAGATGCAACTCCTCCATTGTTAAGATGGAACTTCATGTGTGTGTACCAGTTACGATTAGGTTTGACTGTGAGTAACAGAGGCCCCAAATAACAGCAGCTTAAACAAGATGGAAGTTTATTTCTCTTATGTGAAAGACCGCAGGTAGGTGACCGTGTAGCACGTCGTCCTTGAGCCCGAGGTGCCTTCCATGTTATTGCTCCCTAATAGGTGACTTCCTTTCCCTCATGGTCCGAGACAGCTGCTCCTACTCCAGCCATCGCATCCAAATTCCAGCAGGCAGGAGAAGAGGTAAAGGGCACATTTCCACTATTTTTAAGGAAAAATCCCTTGAAGTAGTCACAAAACACTGCAGCTTACCTCTCCTTGACCAAAGCTTCGTCATGGAGCTGCCAGATGAGATGAGAAATGCCATTGTCCTAGGCAATCCTGGGCCTGGCCTGAAGCTGGCCATTGGCTCCTATGGGAGGAAGGAAAATTAGCCACACGTGCTGAGAGTATGTAGGTCACTGAGGCAGTTCCCGTTAGTTCCTCGGGTCATTACCAGGCCCGGCCGCGAGCTGAGGTGCCCAGCCCTGGCCGCCTGTAACCACAGTTTCTCTCTCTTCCTTCCCACAGTCTCCAACCTCTCCCAGTACTTCAGCCCATCCTCCGTGGCCAGCAGCCCAGCCCGTGCCCTCCTGCTGGTAGGCGTCGTCCTCCTGGCCTACTGGTTCCTGTCCCTGGTGCTGGGCTTCACCTTCAGTGTCCTGCACGTGTTGTTTGGCCGCTTCTTCTGGGTGGCCCGCGTCCTCCTGTTCTCCATGTCGTGTGTGTACATCCTGCACAAGTATGAGGGCGAGCCAGAGGGCGCGGTGCTACCCCTGTGCCTGGTGGTGGCCGTCTACTTCATGACCGGGCCCATGGGCTTGTACTGGCGCAGCGGGCCCAGCGGGCCCAGCGTGGAGGAGAAGCTGGAGCACCTGGAGAGCCAGGTCAGACTGCTCAACATCCGCCTCAACCGGGTGCTGGAGACCCTCGACCACTCCAACAGCAAGTGACAATCAGCCAGCCGGCCGGTGCCCCCCGCTCCCGCGCCCCCGCTCAGGAAGCAGAAGAAAAGGAGGAAGAAGAGAACCCCGACCCCCAAACAGTCGTAATAAACATTCCTGAGCAAGAGAGGGGCGCTCTGGGGGGGTCTTTCCGGCCACGTGACGGCGCCTGGGACATGTCCCCGGTGGGGAGAGAGGTGGTTTGTGTAGATCTGCCCACGACTCATGTGAGTGGGGGAAAAGCGTATTTTTTCAACAAAGGCGATTACTCCTAGTAGCTGTACAGCAAGAGAGGTTTATCTGTATAGAGCATAAAGTTACTTTTTTCAAGCATTTCAATACATCTTTTGTAAGGTTTTTTAATAAAGGCAGATCAAGTCAAGTGTATTCCAGCCGGGGCGGGGGGTGGGGGGCAATACGCAGATCTGGTGGCAGAGACTCCACACAAGCCTGGGTTTCCACCCGTAGGGGTGCTGGGTGGAATCTTGTGTGCTTCTCGTGTTCCCCGTGGTGAGATGAGCCTCACTTTCCGGTCCACTTGGTTGGTGCTGACCAAGTGTCCCTTCTGATGTGGGTTGGGCTCCTAGTCGAACCCCCATTTCAGGAGCCCGATGACCCAGCCAGCGCCCCACGATCCTGTTGTTATGTTGACAAATCATTGGTTAGAAAACCCTAGTTTTTTCCCTCTCCTCTGTACTTAGATGTATTTTAACCTCAACCTTTTGTAAAAGAAAATTCATGGAGCAGGCAAGGAAATGCTGGGGGGTGGGGAGAGTCGGGGTGTAGGCTGGTGCTCACGGTGGAGTGTGTGCCCTGACTGCCATTTGCCTGCGAGGCCCATTTAGGGAAGATACACTCTTCAGGGGTGGGGTTTTTTGTTGTTGTTGTTGGTTTTGTTATGCTCTGTTATGGTCGTTGCAGGACCCTGGAAGGGTTACAGACTGTAGCAGCTAATAACATTTCCCAGCCCGTTGCTGCTTATAAAGAATCCTCAGGAACCATAGGCAGCACTAAACAAGACTTGGGGAAGATCTGAGTTGTTTTTCCTGGAATTTCTTTAACACCTGTGTTAGGTGCTTTTTGCCCTGAATCTGTGGTCCTTGTTTAGGTGGCACTGGGGAAGCCCCTTCTGGACCCCAGGTGAAGAGAAGCATCAGGACCCACAGGGCAGGGGAAAGCAGCTTTGGAGACTGAAGGGGGTCGCCACTGTCTCCACAGCGCTCCCTGCTCCTGAACACCCTGGCAGCCCCCCATCACAGATCCCCACCTGCAGATTTTCAGCGACCCCTACAGATGGGGTGGAGCCAATCTGGTCCCATGACCCCTGGAGAGGCCCTGCTCATGCCATGTCTTTGTGAGGCTTTACTTCCCGTAACTGTATCTGGGAAGCTGCAGTAGAGGTGTTGGAGTTTGCTTATCACAGCTGTGACTTTTAAGGTGCATACAATGGGGCCCCAGTTCTCCTGTATTGGGTTCACTTCCAGCTCTCTAGATTTGCTGGGGGGGAAATCTTAATCCTATGGTTTCTGGATTGAAATCATTTTGATTTTGTCACAGACCCTAAGAGACACATCTGTCTAGCACCAGGCGTAAATGACCCCAGGGAGGTTCGCTCTGCCCCCTCCCTCCCTGCATTTGGCCTGCGTGTGTCAGCCTGCCCGACACTGACAGTTGCCTGCATCTGTTAATCAGGGAAGCTGGCATTTTCTCCAGAAGCTTCTAAACTTCTGGTCTGGAGAGAATAGCCACCCCTCCCTCCCTGCACCCTCCCAAGTGAACTCCCAAAGGCTGTCCTGAGGTCTAGACCTGAAACACATTTTAAGTCCTAGTAAGTCTGGATTGCAGGGCACCGGTGAGAGCTGTCCGGCATTGGCACTGGGCTTTCCAGGTTAGCTAAGCCTAGACCTTGCTATACTCGAGGGGTCGAAGTCTATTGAGAACGTATGCTCTGTTTGGAAGTCACTTCATGGGAGAATATTCTTTGAAATCTGTTAGAAATTCTAGATGTTAGGTCTAAATATCTGGCTGTTTAAGGCCTAAACTTGGCTTTTGTGTGGGTATATTTGGGTGTTTGACTTTTCCCCCTTTTTCTAGGAAGCTTGTAGGGTGTCTCGCCTCCCTGGTCATCCTTTCCTCCATCTCTTTTGTACGTGGAAAATGTATTTTTGTACCATAGCTCGTACATCCAGGAGAAACCTTTTTAATATCTGCAGAACTCTAGCTACATCAGTGCAATGCAGCTTCATTAAGTGTGACATGGAACCCTCCTGGCACAAGCTGGGCATCGTTTTTGAAAATAATCAGTGTTCTTTTCCTCCGCTCCAGTATCACAATAAACACCACCAACAGAAGGCAGGGAGAGGATGGGCCATGCTTTTAATGGCCGTGTCTGCGGAGGGCGGCCTCCTTCCTTGACATTAGCGAACAAGCTTCCCCAGGACCCCTAAATGTAGCTCCCTTGCCAGTCAATGTCACCTGCTTTCTGGGGTGTTTTGGTTTCAAGTTTCCTCCCTCTTACCCTGCAGCAGCCTCAGAATTTCTGGAAAGCTGGCCTTGGGCTTTGTGCTGGTGTTTCAATTTCTAGAAGTAACCAAGGGACGGCGTGGGGAGCATCCTCTCCGCCACGCAGGCAGGAAGTGTGTCACATGCAGTGGAGGGGAGCAGAGAGGGAGACAGGGACCAGGCCTTGAGGAGGAAGGTGGTGAGTCACTTGGTGGGGAACCCTGATCCTAAGTGACATGCAGGGCAGGTTGACCACTTGCATGTTCTGCCAAGATTTGGGGGTCCCCGAGGGCTGCTTGGCTGAAAAATATAAACTACAAGAGTGTTAACCTGGCCTGAGGTTTGTTTGGCTGCTGGTGGAGAGGTTTGGTGTCACACCAAAAAACTGATATGGGGGCCTCCCTGGTGGCGTAGGGGTTTAGTCTCAGTGCTTTCAAGCAATCACCAGCCACATGAGTTTGCTCCCCAGCTGGGGAGCTGACCCACGTGGCGCAGAAGACCTCTCTTTTGTCTCCCCGCTGCTCCCCTCAGCAGAGTATTTTGGTTAATCCACCTGTTCCCCACTCTGACTCTGGTGAGTCCTCTCACTCCCTCCACACCTCTGGCCTACATCCTCATTCTTGTGTGTATAAATAAACAAATCTTTAAAAAATAAGAGAGTAAAAAATAAATAAGAGTCAATGCAGAAACCTGCTGCTAAATCTTGTCACACATGGGGACCCAACTAGCGTCATCTCCACCCTGCTTCCTAAGATGCTTTTGATGAATGCCCTGTGCTTCATGTGGGGAGTGGGGTTCAAGGGGATTAGAACCGACCTAACTGCAAAGCCAGTTCTCACCTCCCAGCAGCCTGGTTTTGGCTAAGCCCCTGTACCTGCTCTGGTTAGAAATGCAATGCTCTCTCCCCTTCGGCATCGTTCTCACTTACGGCCACTTAGTGGGCAGCTTCTGCCCCTCTGAGGCAGCGGGTTCTACAGCTGTTGAAGGACCTAACAGAACCTTAGCACCAGGCCATGCACTGGGGCCAGTACAGTGAGCTCTGTGTTTTGCTCACCTGTGGCTTCCTAGAGTGTAGCTCTCCAAGGACCAGATTTGCCTGTGTGGCAACATTCACAGCTAAATGTCCTCAGCAGCTCTCCTGAGGACCTGTGGCAGCTAGCAGCATTGCTGACCATCTGTCTTTTTGCAGATTTAAAGGTTTTGTCGTCGTGTTGATCTAATATCCGCATGTGTGGTAACCCCTGAAAACCGTGTAACTCAGCTGATTCTTTGTGATGGTGATGGTGATTAGCGCTCACTTAAAATCCAGCCAAGCAATTATTTCCCTCTTCTTAACTGGAAATCATGTTTGTATGGGATGGCACTTGTCACCAGAGTACTCATGGTTTGTTTCATATTTTGTATATCTGATTATGAACTTGATATATAGCTTTTTATTTGACAATACACACCCACTTGATTTGACGATTGTGGTGTGTATGTGCTGTGTACACACTTGTCTAGTCCTGAGCCTGGGGAAACTGAGTCTACAAATGTGATATATAGACATATATGTATAAGGCTTATTTTTTTGCAAAGTGATATATACATTCCTCTTATTTATTAAATCACTGGCTTTGGTCTTACGTAGAGATATTTGTAGATGGATTTCAGAACAGAATTAAAATATTGTGCAAATACCGCTTAATAAATGTTTGTGTAATTTTCTTGTACAGACTTCTAACTATATCACATCACTTCCAGCCTCGCATTGGTGGAGTTTTCCCAGTTTTGACACATGAAGGGATTTGACGATTCTGTTCCCCAATCTGAGAAGAGTCATAATTTCCAGAGTCTTCATAGTAAGGTTTCATTTGGAGACAGTTTTTAGATAAAATACAGGATGCTAGGTTAAATTTGAATTTCTGATACACAAGATTCTTTTTTAGTAAAAGCACATCCTGTGCAACTTTGGGACATATATTACAGAAGTATTTGAAATCCATCAGTGTATTAATAGTACCCTCCTTTTCATTGCTGAGTAGTATTCCACATTTATCCATTCACCTATTGTTGGGTTTGGATAGTTTCCAGTTTGAGGCTATTACCAATAGCTCCTTTCACTTCTCTCTGGAACAGACTTAGAGGTGGAATGGATGGACCCTATAAAGGTGTATATTTGATTTTTTTCAGAAGCCATTTCTCAGAGTGGTTATGCCATTTTACATTCATCAGCTGTGTCTGAGGATTCCAGTTCCTCCATCATCTCACAAACACTTGGATGGTCAATTCCCCCTGAAAAACATTCCTTAACTGACAGGCATTGTCTTAACTGAAAGTTGGCCATCTTTAATTAAACCATCGAATTCTTATTTCTGAGAAGTTGTAAATGTGTCCATCACTGTTTGCCTACATCTTCATTACCTATATGAGCCAGCACTTGATTTTTCCAGAAGCACAATAGCCACTCAAAAATGATTAAGGTATACGCAAACATCTGCTAGAAGATTTGAAAAACCGGGCCCTTCCTGCTGGTGCAATGGCTTAAAGCACAGTTCTAAGAAGCTATCCACAGCCGAGTTGGCATGAGTTTGATCCCCTGCTGGGGAGGTGACCCACGTGGCGTGGCAGATCTGAGGGGCCCGCCCCTTGCTGTCCTCAGAGTGTACTTCATTACTTCCTGTTCTGCTCCCCACTCCATCTCTGGTGAATCCTCTAGCCTGTACCCCAGTTATTCATAAATAATTTAATTTTAAAAAATAAAATTGGATAAAGCAGGGGGCTCCCTGGTAGACTTAACAAGGGGTTAAGTCTCAGCACTATGAAGTTATATCTACAGCCACTGCAGCATGAGTTGGATCCCCAGCCAGGGAGCTGACCCACATGGCGCAGCAGACCTCCTGTTTTCCCCACTGCACCCCTCAGCAGTGTACTTCAGTAGATTTGCCTGTTTTGCCCCCCTCCCCACTCTATCTCCGGTGAATCCTCTCACACATACCCCCCCCACACACCTCTGGCTTGCACCCCAGCTCTCCTATGCATAATCAATACAATAAATATTAAGATAATAAAGTCATAAAACCAAACATGTGATTGTTGGAGTGTTGGGATTTTCAGTTCCAACCCCAGCCCTTGGGAGGCTCCTGGAATTTACCCTAAGAACCTTTAGAGGAGTTGGGCATAAGAAAGAAAAAAAAAAAAGAATCTTTTTTAGCCTGTCTTCTTTCTAATGTCCCTTATCATTAAGTTAAATAAGGTGTGCCCCCTGTGAGCCATTCTAGCAAGGGTATCCTGGGCCTGTCACCTGTAACAACCAGGCCCCCTAATTGTAACCTGCTTCAGAATGGGGGCCTCATGGACAGCCCTGCACCTGTTTGGGGCTTGGTCCCTGGAGCACAGATGAGAGAACCCAAGCTCAGAAAGGTCTTGAAGTCTGGCCCAAGGGCAGAGGGGGCGCCGGAGCCCTGTCTCACAGACCCCTTCCTGAACGCAGAAATCATTCTCTGCATAGGGCTTTAGGGTCTCCCTGCTGATGACTTGGTAGCTTTTTATTTTTTAAAGTTCTATCAAGGAAGCCATTCATCAGTGGCCCCATG